GCGCAATATGGTTCATGGGGTTACGAAGAGTCGGACACGACTTAACGACTGAACAACAACAAAAGGTCTGGAAAGAGTTGATGACCTATCTTACTCATGCAATATGAATATCAGGCTACATTTGATTTTCTTTTATTGCTCCTTGATGGCCATTTTCGCTCAGCTTTGCCATTGATTTCTGCATGTGACAAGGTGGATGTTGTTGCATTGCTGGTCATGCAGCAATTAAGTTTTATCGTATTTTTTTGCTGAATGTCTTTCCCCATGCTCCAAAATGAAGGTTTTACTGTTGAATTTGTACTCTTTTTATTTTGCTCCAAAAATAGAGCTTATTTTTAAAATTCATTTGAAAAATGTGAAGCTAGCTATCTCTTGCCATATTTTAGTAACTTTTTGCAGCCTGTTTCTGCCTTCAGGCTATTTATTTGAATTAAACTACTGTAGTTACATTTTAAATGACAAGGTATAACATGCAAAAAAACAATATTAGTAAGCATAGCAAGGAGCAACATTTTAAAAGCTTTCTAAGACTTCATAAATAGTTTGCCTTTAAAACCCCAGACTTCCCAAATATAGTAATGCTGACTGCTAATTATCTGATGGAGGAAAAGAAAAAAGAAAAATTGGGATGAAGTCAGGGGTTCTAGTCTTGAAGTGTTTTATGTTCCTCAGCACTGATCTTATAGTAGTAGATCTTGCCTGAACATGCAAATAATGGCAAGCTTGAAAATAATCTTTGATAACCATTATCTTCAGATTGTTTAAACTTCAAGTTGTTGACTCTCATTACAAAACTATACATTCTAAAAGATGGGTTTTTGAACTTGGTCACATTTCAGTTTCCTCTCTTTTGATCCCTCTGTCTCTGGGCTAGGTTTATAAATGTTTTGAATACCACTTTCAAAAATATTCTCCCTTACCTCCATTATATATTATACGAGGAACAGTTTGGTGTGGTGGTTAAGGTGTCCGGCTAGAAACCAGGAGACTGTGAGTTCTAGACCTGCCTTAGGCACAAAGCCAGCTGGGGGACCTTGGGCCACTCACTCTCTCTCAGCCCTAGGAAAGAGCCAATGGCAAACCACTTCTGAAATCTTGCCAAGAAAACTGCAGGGACTAGTTTTTATCTCCATTAGAAAATCAGCATCCATACTTATCCATCCATCCATCCATCCATCCATCCATCCA